ACGAATTTTGTTGAGTTATCGAATTTTAGTGTTCTTGAAATTCATCGAATTATCAATATGTATCAAATCATCGAAATTTAGCGATAAACTTGAATGTATCGGGTCAATTCCAAGTCCTGCCGAAGTCCTCCAAAGACCTTCTCAGATAAAAAAAAAAATTAGTTACGTTTTAGCTGAAGATTTTCCGGTTAGTTAATTTGTACCGCATAAGTATCGCTACGTGTTAAGTTAGAAAACCTCTCCAAGGCTTCTAAAACTAGAAAAACTGTCGAATTTCGACAGTAACTGGCACTCTAGTCTATATATTAATACGCTAACATAAATTTTGTCTCCGTTCGTTTGGCGATTCTACCGAACCGATTACAAAACCAAGAACACCATCAGGAAGGTAATTTTCGGTAGATGGGAGAGTTTTTATGGTTGCGTATGGTTTTTGCTGCAACATGTTCAATTTGAGACGTTTTCGCATTTTGTTTTACGTTGTAATTAAAATTAAACTTTTGTAATAAAGAAAAATGTGATGATGAAGAAATAAATGTTAAGGATTAAGAAATAAACTGAAGTCAAAATTGAAGATAAAGACGAAGTTAAAACAGTAATGAGAAATACATAGGAATTAGGGTCACTATTAAATTTATTAAAATTTTTCAATAGGAATCAAATTAAATTCAGTCATAAACAAATAAGAAAGTCTAACACCCCTATTCTGCAACACTTTTGTATTCGGATTTTGCTACGAATCGTAGAAATGGTATGTGACAACCCGAATCGTATTTTCGAACTTTCGAAATTCGTAACAATGGCATGCCTAAAAATGAACGAGTAAGCTTTTTTGCGTAATTTTGTACGAAAACAATTCTGTGTCGGAGGTGAGATAAAATATGTAAATCGATGTGTTTGCAGGAAATATTAGTGGTGTTTATTTAAACAAATAAAGGGTGGGGTTTAGTACCGCTCACAACTATTTCGGGCTATTCCGTCCAAATGGGTGGCCCGATCAAAAAAAAAATTTCACACACTTGTAGTCAAGGGTCCACGCAATATTTTAACACTCACTTTTGTAAATTTTGGTTACTAATTTATTTACAAATTGGGTTTGAAATATGCCCTTTTTTGTAAAATTCGGAAATTAGCGTACATTTATCACTCATATTCTGCTTAAATTAGCCACTTCACCAATATATTTTTGTATTTCCCTTCACTTTACACTTTACTTGATTTGTTATAACTTGCTTTACGACTTTAATATTAACCAATTCATCACAATTCATTAAATAAAAACACCTTCAAAATCACGCGTCTGACTTTGGTTGCATATGCAAATTAAATGGCGGAGTTCAGCTGTCAAACTCCAAAATATGCAAAAGAATGAGAGACAAAAGAAGATAGGATATAACCCAGTAAGCATTAAAAATATACAAAGGTGTTCTCTGCAAAAGGTGTTCAGCTCCTTTTCTT